ATGGACTGGACAATGGCATCACACTCCTGGTGCATGAAGGTGAGTGGTGTGCCCTGGTTTGCAATGGTTAAGGTAAACTGGTTCTCATCCACCAGGCAGATTTCTTCAATTTCCGAAGCATAATAGATATCATTGAGAAAGACGGACTGCCCCAGGACTTTTGTTCGCTCTGCTGAGGTTACTTGAACAGCAGTAGAACCAACCTGGAAAGTGGTGGTGAAGGGGTGGAGGAAGAAGAATTAAATTCCATTATGCTGAATTGTCAGAGGCCCCAAACCAACCAACCAACCAACCAACCAACCAAAATATTATGTTTGCCATATAACAAAGAGTTATCACCATTACATATTCAAATAATTATTGTAATAAATGCTCTCAAAGAGACTAAAGACACCAGAAAAAATTAGTTTTTAAAAAGAGGTCAAGAATCCTACAGGCAATTACTGATTTTATTCTGAAAGTTCATGTTCCTTATTCTGCAAAAAACATGCCATATTCAGAATTCTTACTAGATAATTTCCACACATTGGAGCCATCTGACTGATATAGAGCAAATTGCCTTCTCTATGACACTGCCCTGCCTCCAACCCAACCTAGAATAGAACTAAGTGTACGCATCTTGTATCATCCGCAGGACTCCACGAGGACAGAAAGCTTAGTTCTCCCTCTGGACTTACATTTGTTACAGTAGCACAGGGACACTTAGGAAGGCCAGCGTACAGTGCGGTTGGTCCAGGAAGGCAGCGAGCTGACCCAGAGCGGCACTTACTTTGATGGAGACCTTGGTGTCCTTGTGAGCCAGCCGGAGCGCGTTGTGGAACACCTTCAGGTCCTCTTCTAACGCCAAGGTGGCGGCGGGGAGCTTCTGCTGCTCCTGCTCGATGTGCTCGGCCAGCTTCCCAGGGCAGTCTATGAAGATGAGCCTTTTGCTGCCTTTGAGGCCTGTCAGCAGCCGCTCGTGGTACTTGGTGTACTCCCTGACCCAGGAGTTACAGTTATAGATGTAAACTGCGGAGACATTGTCATAAGCAAAGCCGGGGAAGACAACAAACCACTTAGAGAGGAAGTCCGTTTTAAAGCGATTGCTCGGCCCAGTATGGGTAAGGTCCACTACAATTTCATATGGCTTTGCATAATATGGCTTTAAAGTCAGCAAGACGTGGTATATTAGCAAATCACCGTTGATTTGACCAGTTTTGAACCTAAGGAAGATGACCAAAAAGAAAAGAAAAGAAAAGAAAAAGATTGTTAACAGAGTTATGAATAGATACATAGATGCTACTAATCTATTTTATTTTTTTTCTGATTAGCTTACTATATAAAAATTACACAAAGTCTAGATCCTTTTATTAATCCTAACCCAAGAATATGTTTGGATGTGTGTTTTTAAAAAATATATATTTTATTGATATTTTACAGAGAGGAAGGAGGAGGGATAGAAAGTTAGAAACATCCATCAGCTGCCTCCTGTACACCCCCCACTGGGGATGTGGCTGCAACCAAAGTACATGTCTTTGACCAGAACTGAACCTGGGACCCTTCAGTCTGCAGGCCGCAGCTCTATCCACTGAGCAAAACCAGTTAGGGCTGGATATGTTTTTATTGACTATCAAAAGAGAGGAAGAGACGGAGGGAGAGGGAGGGAGGGAGGGAGGGAGGGAGGGAGGGAGGGAGGGAGGGAGGGAGGGAGGGAGGGAGGGAGAGAGAGAGAGAGAGAGAGAGAGAGAGAGAACATTGATGTGAGAGAGAAATATCGACTGGTTGCCTCCTGTATATGCCTCAACCAGGGATCAAAGCCACAACCTAGGTGCACGGGATGATGCTCCAACCATCTGAGCCACCTGGCCAGGGCTGGATCCTTTTTCTAAGTCAGTTGTTCTTTAGACATTGAGAAGTAATGCTGAAGTAAAACAGAAGGGACAAATCTCTAATTCAAAAACTTTGAGTAATGACAGTATAACAACAAACTTGTCCATCACAGTTAGTCAAGGAAGAAGGCATGCACATTGGTTAGTGGCCTCCAGGCCCACCAAGCTTCCCAGGCGACCAGTCCGGGTGGGAGTGACCCACCTGGAGCCCTGGAGGGCACTGAATAGCTCTGTGAACCCATCTATCCTATCCTGGCCAGAGAGAATGGTTCAGTCGTGATCATATGACTCAAATTAGGACAACCGGAGCCAAAGAGGCCCAATTCAGACACTGCAATTTAAACTGCTGGAAACTTAGACTTATAAACAAGGGGACACAGAGCCCTGGGAGTTGTTAGCTCATATCTTGAGATCGGAAGAAAAAGCATGCCCAGCCGAAGCCGGTTTGGCTCAGTGGTAGAGCGTCGGTCTGCGGACTGAAAGGTCCCAGGTTCGATTCCAGTCAAGGGCATGGACATTGGTTGCGGGAACATCCCTGGTAGGGGATGTGCAAGAGGCAACTGGTCAATGTTTCTCTCTCATCATCGACGTTTCTAACTCTCTATCTCTCTCCCTTCCTCTCTGTAAAAAATCAATAAAATATATTTTTTTAAAAAAAAAAAAAAAAAAAGAGAAAAGAAAAAGAAAAAGAAAAAGCATGCCTAAAAACTGAAGATACGGAGCAGAGAAATAAAGAAACTGGGGCCCTGGCCTTTTATTTGAGTCCTAGATAAAGCCTCTCCTGGGATCAAATTTATCCCTGGACTCTTCAGTTGTATGAGCCAATAAGTTTCATTTCTTTTTTAAAAAATAAGCCAACCACATTAGGTCATATGTTGCTTATACTAAAAATAGTGCTAAACAATGTGAACAGCCAAGTTCAGGACCGACAGAAAGCCCTGAAGAACACAGTACTAGAATTTCAATCAAAACAACCTATTGAACTTTGGCCCAATGTTCCATCCTTGATGACTCTGGTAGTGCTACTACAACCTAGGCTAAGATGAATATCCTCACCTCAGAGCTTTTAATCTTGTTGGAAGGAAGTAAGATAAATATGGGGCAAGTTATATGATTATGAAATAAAAGAGGCCAGCTAGTGTATCTCAGCGGTTGAGCGTCAATCTATGAACCAGGAGGTCACAGTTGGATTCCTGGTCAGGGCACATGCCAGGGTTTTGGGCTCGATTCCCAGTAGGGGCCCTGCAGAAGGCAGCTGATCGATGATTCTCTCTCATCGCTGATGTTTTCAACTCTCTCCTTCTCCCTTCCTCTCTGAAAACAATAAAAATATATTTCAAAAAACTAAAAACGTTTCAAGATCAAAGAAAAGATATGAGGTACTATATAATCACTTATCAAAGGAACTGCAGAGGGAAACAGTGCTATTACAATAAGTTCAGAAGAGGGAGAGATCAATATAAACTAGGTCGTCAATGAAACTACTTAGAAGACACACCAGCTGACGTGGATGGGGGGAACTTCAAACTCAACAAGAGAAGGGACTGGCAGACCTCATGGAGAGAAGTAAAGAGGAAAAGAGACAGGTAACTAGGAATGTTGAGGCCAACAGTCAGCTAGTTTAGCTGGAATGGAGGATTCACACAGAGCAGTTCTAAGAGATAAAGCTGGAAAAATACATAATAGCTACATTGTGAAGGGACCAAAACTGTTCACCTAAGGGGCTTAGGTTTTCTCCTAACAGCTCAGTATTTCCTCCAAGTGTCACACTAGCATGAGAATCAGCTGCGGTGCCTGATAAAAAATGCAGGTTCCTAGTCCCAGCCCAGACCTACTAGTACATATAAATCTATGTAGTGGGGCCTGGCAGTTTTCACTGCTTTTAAAAAACCCCTCTCATCCAATGTTTATTTGTATGAACATTTCTGAACCATTGCTGTAGGTGTTAAGGAATTACTCAACTCTATTTTTTTAAAGAAAGGCGTGATATGATCAAAGGAAGTAATATATACAAGATATATAACGAAGTCAGGGCTGGTAAAAAAGATATTGTAGTTACTCTAGATATGGCCTAATAAGGATCTAAAATACAGTCATGCGCCACTTAACGATATAGGGAAACGTTCGATTTCATCGTTGTGCAAACATCAGAGTGCACTTACACAAACTTAGAGGTATGGCCTAATACTGTAGTTGCATGAGCTATATTTTTATATGACTGGCAGTGCTGTAGGTCTGTTTACACCAGCATCACCATAAACACGGAGTAATGCGTTGTGCTATGATGTTACCATGGCTACTAGTGGCAATAGAAATTTATCAGCTCCATTATGTATTTTTATGGGATCACCATTGTATATGTGGCCTGTCATTATGTGGCTCAAGACTATACTATGGTGGTCGTAAAAAAGAAACTGATCTAAGAATATAAAGAAAGAATCAACATTGTCTTAGGTCAGATGAGAGCTATAAGAAAGGACTTGAATTAAAAGGTCTTGCTATAGAACAAGCCTCTGAGTTTACAAAGAATGTTGCTATCATAAACAAAAACAAAGAGATCATGAGGGCAGCCACTTATGGGAGGAAAATGAGGTGATGAAAGGAAATTTGAGGGCGAAGGAGAGAAAGAGAAGAGGGAGCAGAAAGAAAAGGAGAGAGAGAGAAAGAGAGAGAGAGAGAGAGAGAGAGAGAGAGAGAGAGAGAGAGAGAGACAGACAGAGACACTGTTGGTGTGCGTGTATATACACTAAACCACACAAAAGCATGTTCTGACCTATATAATCTAAATTTACTACGTACTTTCTCAAATTGTTGCAGTTCCATAATTTGAGATGTGGGTTATGTATATCACTGTTTCTATTATTTGACCAATACCCTAGGTTTCCAAATTCATTTATCAAATCAATCTGTGCATACAAATAAAATTTTTAGAGATGATTTTAATGCTGCAGGGAAAATGCCATTTCATCTTCTTTGGAATGATACTAATATGTCATCCTCAAGCATGCACAGCAGGCATAGACAGTGAGCATAAGATCAAATAGACATAAGAGGAAGGCCCTCCCTGCCCTGGAGGCGGGATCTGCTCCACAAAGCCTCCTGTCATGCCAGTGGCCAACTAGACAAGTTGGAGATTCTGGTGTTTTTTTCCCCTGTGACATGTGCTTTAGTTGCAGCGAAAAGGAAATGTGTCATCATCTGTGGTTTGGTTCGAAAAGTGGAAAGCTAGCGGTGCATGCCCTTTTTTGCTTCAGATTTACTTTAACATTCATACTTCTCCAAGTCTGTTCTGCTTTATATTACTTTCAAGCTGTGCTCAAAGACAAGAAGAGAAGTGGCTTATTAAAATAAGGTTATAATCAGATTCTGGCCAACCATTTTGCAAGGTAGGTAATAAATATGGCTTTTCTTATGCCTTTTACTTATAACTTTGTACAGATTTGTGTTTGAGGAAGTGCTTCAAATAGTACCTAAGACTCTTACTAACAAAGTAGAATCGTAAGTGATGGAAAATGTATGCTTTTTTTTTTTTTTTTTTTTTCCTATTAGGTAAAACTTGTTAGAAATGAGAAAGATTTACTATCACATTAGAGTTTTAAATTAGAACTAGGAAGAATCTGAGTTTAACCTCTACAGTCAATTGGAAAGTTTGGTTATGAAAAAAAGTTTAACAAAAGAAAATTTCTTATTATTAATGCTTAGGCATTACACATGCTATTTGAAAATGACCAGAGAGTAAACACACACACTTTTGACTTAAATTAGGGCTATAGAGACAGTCCTCTATTCTTGGGAACCTGTAAGGATAAGAGAAAGCCTCGTTTTGTTAACGGTTTGTTTATTTGGGGATGACAGCACATCTGGCTGAAGACAATCAACAGCAGGCCCATTATCCATCCCGTGGTAAGCACTGTTAAATGTGTGCGAAGCTAGGATGTGTGTACTACACTGTTAACCAACTAAGGAGACAATAACAACCCACTTTATATTATTTTACCAGCTATGCAGATGGCCAGTCTAGTATAAAAGGATAGAAATTGCTTCCTAACCCAATTTAAAGTATTTCTCTGTGAAAGAATCATAAAGAAGGCAAAGATTTATACCATTCAACTTAAAAATGAAGCTGAACACTATTAGATAGAAGTCAATGCAACATATCTTTCACTGTTTATTAAAGGTCATAATCCAAAAAGTAATCTTAATTCTAGAGCACATAAAAGTTTATTTTCTTCCCTACTATCAATAGGTGATATTATTTCAGAGGCTAATTTCCAGTTAGCATCATTTATTATAAGCTACTTCTTATAAACTATTTCTTATAAAACTGTGAAACTGGCTAGCAGCAGCACCTACGTTGCGTAGGAGTTGGGTCAGAATTGAAGGATTTCAGGTCCCTCCTAGATCTATGGAATCAAAGCTGCATTAAAAAAGGAGAATAATCTAGTTTTGTCCGAGTTCCCTTAAGTGGATGCTAACAATAAAACAGTCTCATAAAAGAAGCTCCAACAAACTGGAATATTATTATAAAAGAGATAGTTCAATAATGGTGGTAAGTCTTTCTGGTTTACCAGTCCCTGAACAGATATACCTGTTCTATTTAAATCATCAGTTCTATGGTGGATACTGAGAATTAGAGCAGTCTTGTCTCCTCTTTGTACTGGCTTCCAGGACAAAGAGCCAAAACTGAAAAGCAACCTATTTATTTATATGCTGAGATGCTTACCATCTGCCTTGACTTCCCACGTTTATCTAAAACCCCAAGATCCCGAGGCTCTATTTTTTTCTATTTTATTGTATATGTTATTTTTTTTTAATTATGTCAAAATATTCACAGAAAAAAATGCTAGGCCTAAATAATATTAAAAAGTCAATAAGTTTTGTTAAGCTTTTGAGATTATTCAGAAGAGTGCCGCCTTTTGCTTATAATGCCAGGTTTTTAGGCTGAGAAGAGTGACATGCCTTTGGCCTGTGCTTTCAGAAAGCCACAGTCAGGGGATACAGAGGTGAAACGAGAGAACCACCACCATAAAACTGCTTTCACAAATCCTGGGGATATATTTCTAAGGACCAGCTTTACTCTAAGCTCAAGATAAATACCCAAGAAGGAAAAACAAAACAAACAAACAAAAAACCCACCCCAAACTCCTGTTTGCAGTCCATTTTCTTTTGGTTGCTACCACATTTCCCCTTTCCTGACCAGGGAAAAAAAGCTACTTGCATTTTATTTTCATGCATGAAGCAAAATGCCAAGGCCACATTTCTCCTTTACTATAAAGACTGATGACACATTTGTTAGAAGGTGGGGAGTTTCTGCAAAAAAGGATCCTTAAATGGGGAGGAATCAAAAAAGCAGAAGTATATGACTCAAAGCTGAAGTCTAGCATGCTTAAGAGGGAGAAAATATAAAACCATGGTATTCACTTAAAAGGAGAACAGAAATTAAAATTGTTTCTTTATATACAGCCTAATAGGAAAAAAAATATTGGTTGAGAATGAATTGCAAATGTTAGGCATGAGTTTGCAGCTTACTTGTAACATATCAGCTGCCTATCTTTTAATACAATTACCAAAATCAGAAACTGTAACTCTTTTACAAATTCTCAAATTATATTTCTATCCCCAACAGGTTACCCGCATTATCACGGACATGAAGCACACAGGTCATTACCTGTATCTTGCCTTTCTGATGACAACAGTTTTTTCTTTGTCTCCTGGGACAAGAACAAACTATACCCATCTGGGGGCTAACAACACTACTGTCTGGGATCCCGATATTCAAAACAAGACAGGCAGAAATCAAAATGAAAACAGTAACATAAACTCCACCATTCCTAAAGTAGATAAAAGGAGCAATTCTACAAACATGCCTGAAATGGCAGCATCTTCCACCCCTAAGTCTGAACTGGATCTTTATACACCTTCGGTTGCTAGGAGCAGCGCTCCGACATTACAGAGCACTGAAAACACAAGCAAAAGCCACAGTGAAATTTTCAAAAAAGAAGTCTGTGAGGAAAACAACAACAAAATGGCTATGCTGATTTGCTTAATTATAATTGCAGTGCTTTTTCTTATCTGCACCCTTCTATTTCTATCCACTGTGATTCTGGCAAACAAAGTCTCCTATCTCAGACGTTCAAAACAAGCAGGCAAGCGCCAGCCTCGAAGCAATGGCGATTTTCTGGCAAGCAGTGGTCTATGGCCTGCTGAATCAGACACTTGGAATAGAGCAAAACAGCTCACAGGGCCCAATCTAATGATGCAATCTGCTGGAGTGCTCACAGCTACCAGGGGGAAAAAAGATGAAGAAGGAACTGGAAAACTCACTAACTAACAGATGCTTTAGTGAAGAAAAATGCAAAGTAGCAATGGGAAACATCAGGAAGTAAAAATGAATTGTTTGATATTTAATGTCAACATGTTGGTCTGACGGTCTAAATTTTAAACTGCAGACCTTGCAATTTAGAATTAAGCAGGTGAGAAAGGGAGAAGTATGCCTGCTTACTTAATTACTTAAACTGTGTATTTTTGTCCTGACACTGAATATTTAAAAAAACAATTAATAAAACAACCAAAAATGTAAGGATGATTTTAAAGAAAAATTGAAGAAACTAAAAGAAGTAGAAATTGACAAATATTTCTTGTTCAGCAACAATAGTTAGATGATCTTTGAATATAAGTAAACTTTGAATAGTTTTATTGTGTCCTTACAGGCAAATATGCTTCAACATCTAACAGAATTCAAATTCCTAACTATATAGTTTAATGGTACCTTCTTTGCTGAGTGTGACAAAATCCATACCAGCTCTTAAATCAACACAGCTAATTTTATGCTAGATGTTTTCATCTTTATATATGACACAAATAGAATGTTTTTCTACTATAAATATTTAACTAAAACTTTAAATTTTGTATAATAAATTAAGACTTTGTTAGAATAAAACTGACTGTATATTTGCTTTCACTTTACTATCTGAGAGAACACATGTAAAACACAATTGAAACAGATGAGATTATGGCCACAATAGAAAACTCCCTATAAATAAATGGAAAGCATACTTTACCATTTAAGTGTAACATACCTCTATCCACACTAATAAAAGAGAAATATTCAAATTGACTATACCTCCACAATACCCATAAGCCAATCAGATGTGAATATGCAAAGTAACCCAACAAATACGGCAGGTTAATTTGCATATGCAGGGTGAAGCGGGCCGTGAAGCAGCCAGGACCCCTGCTATGAGGAGGAGGATGGGGGCAGAGGGAGCTACAGGAGCGGTGCTTGGGCTGAGAATGAAGACTTGCAAGCTCCCAGGCAGCCAGGAGCGAAGCCAGGGGGAAAAAAGCCTATTCTTGTACGAATCTTTGTACAACAGGCCTCTAGTTCTACAAATATTGTTCTTTGAATTATTTGTAGCAAATAACCAAAAGTTGATTTATTTTTTTCAACTTCAAGGACACCAAGTGGCCTAATGACCAATTTCATTTTTTTACTATCAATGGGATATGAGGAAAGAAAAGGTGTGTGTGTATGTTTGTGTGTCTTTGTTAATTTGGATAATAGGCTTCTTAAGGTAAATATTTAGCCTTTAAAAATGCTTTTATTGCCTTTTTTAGAGAGGAAGGGAAGGGAGAAACATCAATGTGAGAAACACGGATCAGTTTTCTCCTGTACACACCCTGACCAGAGACCAAATCCAAAATGGGCTTCTGCCCTGACTGGAAATCAAACTGGCAACCTTTTGTTGCACAGGACGATGCTCAATCAGTTGAGCCTCACTGGCCAGGGCATGCTTAACATTTTAAGAAGCTGCATTCAAGTAAAATAATGACTTGCATTTAAGTAAAAACTTCTATCTTCAATTAAGCATATTACAAAAGTTGGTTTGAGAGATTTCCCAACTATCTACTACACTTGATACATGGCATACTAATTAAATACCAGGCCACATTTTACAAATCATATTCCTTATTGATCACTTATTTGGGGCAATATGCTAGCCATTAAGGAAAATATTTTACATATTTTGTATAACCACAATCTTACTCTCCCTTCTAGGTTGACAATTCTCATGCTGGTTGTGTATCAGAATCACTTGGGAGTTTAAAAAATTCACCACTGCCTATTCCCACCCTCTTCTTATGATTTAATTAGAGCTTCAGGCATTGGTAATTTCTACATAACTCCCTAGGTAATACTGCTCTTGGTCAAATTCACTTCTTACAAGTTCCATGGTGCCAACGATCTAGGTTATATCTTAAAATGTGAGGGGGAAATAGAACATCAATTTTATTATCAATGTATTACCATTTGTCAAAAAGTTCATTCCCTAAATAATAAATCATATCTGTATTATTCCCGATGACTCTAAATGTCAACAAAAAGTCCAAAGGAAAGCAAGAGAATACCCATGCCAAACATGGTGACAGGAAGGAGGCTGAATTTTCAGGGGTAAAAGGGACCAGATTGAAATGAAACTGGGCAGAGCTCTGGTTTTGTACAAATTGAAAATTTGAGATTGTATACTGGAATACATAGTGATAACACAAAGCACTCCTTAAATCAAGTATCATATATAAATACTTGCAGGAAATTAAAATAATTTAATATCTTTTTAAAAATAAGAAATTAGCTAGGCAACCAATATTCAATATACAGGTCAAACACTTTCTCACAGTACAAGAAAGCTTCTACTGCAGAATTATTTAAAATTCATTACTCCTATCTTGGCTATTAAACTTGTAACCTCAGAATGATACCATCCAATGATAGCTTATGAACATACAGAAGTAGCTCCTTTCCAAACTTGGCAATGTTTAAAAATGCAAAGTTAAGCTATGTTTTGAGTACAAATCTTTTAAGTTGTTTTTGAACAAAGAGACTTTTGTTTCCTATCCCTGGGTATTATGATCCACACACTTTAGGGATTTTAAAATAGTGAATCAAAAGTTTATAGCATTTTGATTATATTCTGCTTCATGGTAGGACCCCTCAAAATTTTTTTTGTACAATGTAATAAGTCCTTTGCAGTTGAGAATGGGGTCTTAATAATCTGTGTTCCTTTGCAGTGACCAGGGGAAAGCAGGGCATGGTTTAACATTTACTGTCTGTTTCTACTGTAACACGTGCTATGTTAGATACTTTACGTTTATGTAATCCCATAATAAATGTAGAAACTAGAAATTATGATCTCCACTTTTCAGATGAGGAAACAGGCTAGAAGGTGATATTGCCAAAGAAATTTTTATTGAGACTGACTCATACCTTTTTCTATATATTTGCTCAGTTAACTTACTTAAAAACTGATTCTGAAATTATTTTTCCATGGAGAAGTACCTACTTTGTAGATAATCAAAGTGTTGTGGACTTGAACTCAAATATCATTTAATTGCTCTGACTGGTTTTGTTCTGTGGTTAGAGCATTGGCCCTGGAACCGAAGGGCTGGGGGTTTGATTCCTAGTCAAGGGCATGTACTTGGGTTGCAGGTTTGCTTCCCAGGCTCTGGTCAGGGTGCCTGCAGGAAGCAACCAATCGATGTGTCTCATATTGATGTCTGTCTCTCTCTCTCTCTCTGTCTCTCTCTCTCTCTCTCTCTCTCTCTCTCTCCCCTCCTCCCACCCCCCCAGTCTCTAAATATTTCTCCAAAAAATAATTTTGGGTGAGGATTTAAAAAAATCATTTAATAAAGTATTTGGTCAAAAAAATTGGATTATACTTTTACCTGGACTTTGCCTAAATTATGTATGAAGAAATAACATTAACATTTACTGCTACCTACTGCAAGACATTTGTACATGCTATGTTATCTTATTTAATCCCCACAACAACTCAGGAAGAGAAATGGTCCTCCAGAGGAGGAAGTGGTGATTCAGAAGTGCAGTCACTTGCCTAAGGTCACACAAGTAAACTGAATTCATCATTCACATCTTACGAAAGAAATCTCACTGTGGGTGATAACCCAACTGGCAGTTTTTCCTTAGAACATACAATTGGCTCCCAAAGCTCCATTCTAAATATTTAAATTATAGAATCACATTACTAGAGAGCCTCCAGTGTTTACTTACAAACATTAATTAATAGCACTCATGTAGCTACAAATCATGTAGCTCCAAAATGGGTTTTAAAATAAGTTCTGTTAAAGTAGTATATTTCTTAGTCATTTTGTGGCTTATTGCACTTCCGGAACCAACTATGATAAACTTCCTTTTTTTCTACAGAAACCATTTCAGTTTGCTAGAGGACCATTTTTAATCTAAAAGGAACCACCTCTTTTGCTTTCTTAGCCAAATCACCAAAATGTCCAGTTAGAACAAGAATTCAGCATCCTGCAAAAGAAGTTATCAGCTGAGGTAAGAAAATTTTCACACAGGCTATTTGGTTTGATCTTTGTTTTATTTAAGTGTTATTTTTAAAACTAAAATGACAGGAGTGTTTTAAACGTAACCTCTGCTAGTCTAAAGATGTCTGTAATAGGTTTTGTGATTTTGTTGTGTGGAATTAAGAAATATTGAGTGTAGAGCTTGCCTTTAAGAAAAAAATTCACCTAGGTTTGCATAATGTAAAATTTCACCTAGGTTTTGCTAATCTTAGTTCCAAAGATAAAGGAAATAAACTACAGCCCAGGCAGATAAACCTAACGGCTAGAAATAAAACTAGAATCCATGGATTATGACTGAATTTACAACCGCAAGATACCAGTTAAAAATTCTGATTTATTTTCTATAAAATTTTCCTGTACATAATGTAACTCATAGATTTAAATTATTTTTATTTTTTAATCCCTTTTAGTTTCCATAGCCACCTTCACTTAATTTATAAAGAAGCCAATGGAATATAGATGAGGTACCTGTTTATCATTACGATATATGCTTTATTTTTTTATTTTTTATGCTTTATTTTTTATACAAATAGAATTTATATTTAAGAATTATAACATGAAAATATTATATTAAAAATTGTGACATGAAAATATTTTAAAAATTCACTAAGACAAAACTGTTATAAAATGTATCATCTACATATTATCACATTACCTGTGACATTAATAAGCAGTGTAAAACAGATAGAGAAAAAACACCCACAGAGTGAACAATAGAAAATTGCTAATATGAATAAAAAATGCCTACTCTATGTGTAAACTGAGAAATTAAAGTGAATATCCTAAAAAATAAAAATTTCAAAGATTTTACATAGACTTACACTATCATGGAATAATAAATACATAGTCGAAGATATCTTATATTAGCATTTCATAAATACTTAATGGCTCACACTTATAGAGGTCCACTTTGGATTCCTTCTAAGTAACTATTAAAAAAGTTAGAAAATAAAAATTCTAATCTTTTTTTTAGACAAAAGTTGTCCTTATATTTTTAAAGGGTCAGTCCTAAATTTAGAGTTCAATAGTACTTGTGTTTTTCAACTAATTCCAATAAAATCCTATTTAGAAGGAATTTATAAATTCTGAATAAGTTTAAATGCTAAATATAAACCTGGTCCTTTTCAATGTCTAATTTTTAAAAATCATGTCAAATATGACACCTTATAAAAGTAAACATTCAAAACTCCCATATCTAATTTTAGTAGCTCTTTTCCTCCGTAAGTTACTTACATACCTGTTCCCAGAGAGCTCACATCTAATTTCTTCATAAAGCAGGTTTCATAATTTTACTATGAAAAGCAGTACAGCATATATAGTGATATGTCATAGAAGGAAAGGGCTCTGATAGAAGACTGATATGGTTTTTGTATTAGTGCCACTACTTAGAGCTGTGACACTTCGGCAAATTACCCAACTTCTCTGCTTTCTCAGTATCTTTATCTGGAAGATAACACTACATTGCTCAGTAAAACAACAAAGTGCCTAGCATACTATTATTGTTAAAAGATGGTCATCAATACTTCCTATCATAATGCAAGGTTAATTTCCCTTTCTGCTCTTCCTCAAGATATAGATTTGTTGTTTTATTCCTATTATGGTTTCATAACTTCACTAGTTGAAGTTACACTACTAATAGTTTTAAACTATTTTATATATATTGTTAACTTATTATCAAAGTAACCAAAACTCAGATACTATTTTTTTAAATATATATTTTTATTGATTTTGTACAGAAAGGAAGGGAGAGAGATAGAGTTAGAAACATCGATGAGAGAGAGTCATCGATCAGCTGCCTCTTGCACACCCCCTACTGGGGATATGCCCGCATCCAAGGTACATGCCCTTAACCGGAATCGAACCTGGGACCCCTCAGTCTCCAAGCCGACACTCTATCCATTGAGCCAAACTGGTTTCGGCAAGATACTATTTTTGATACTGTTCACTTACACTTGCCTTTCTGTCTAGGTCCTAGGATATGCTCGTCAAATCTGATTCCCTTGATAAGCCAATGACATATTTCTTACATGTCCAATTTAACAGAATTAATTGTAAATGCTGGACCCTTTATATACTTATGTATTATACGTTTTAGTGTATGTCTAATATATGGGGACTCCTGCTTTTCTGGAAGTGTATTTTAAAATGCTTAGTTAAGCCTTATCTCTGAGTTAGAAAAAAGCCAGTTTCTTCACAATTATACCCACTATTTCTTTTTTAAAGTCCTGTTCACTCTTTTCTGAACTATTCTAAATTGTGTAGAATTCTATACAGATTCAAGCATCCTGACATAGCACACTCTAGGAGGATAGACAACTAATTGAAGCAGGGGAAGTAGAATTTGGTTTTAATATTATCATGGAATAATAAATGTCAGTTTTAATCTATATATATATAAAAGCCCATATCTCTATATATTTAACCTATATATATTTAACCTATATATTTAATATATACAATACATATACATATACATATACATATACATATACATATACATACATACATATATATATATATATATATATATATATATATATATATATATATATATATATATGTAAGCAACTGGCCGACAAGCAGATGTTCGACTGGTAGGTATGATGCACACTGACCACCAGGGAGCAGTTGCTAAATGCAGGAGTGAAAACTACAGGCATGGAAACACTGTATAGACTGATGAATCTCAGAGGGAAAGGGAGAGGGAGGAGGGCAGGAAAGAGATTAAAAAAGACCTTATATGCATACTAGAGGCCCAGTGCACAGATTCGGGCACTGGTGGAGTGCCTTGGTCTGGCCTGTGCCCTCTTGTAATCCAGGACCCCTTGGGAGATGCTGGAGAGCCGGTTTTGGCCTGATCCTCAGAGGCCAGGCCAAGGGACCTCACTAATGCACTAATCCATGCACCAGGTTTCTAGTCCTATCTAATAAAGAGGGAATATACTAATTGACCCTCACACCATCACAAAGATAGCAGCGCCTACAGCCAATGAGGAAATAGATTAATTGACCACCCCACCCTCAAAGATGGCGGCACACAAAGCCAATAAGGAGGGACTATGCTAGTTGATTGCTCCCCCTCAAAGGTGGCGACACCCACAGCCAATGAGGGAATATGCTAATTGACTGTCCCACCCTCAAAGATAGCAACACCCACAGCCAATGAGGAGGGAATATGCTAATTGACTGCCATGCCCTCAAAGATGGCAGCGCTCAGTCCCCTCAGTCCTACTAGGGCGGCAGGCGAGCGGCAAGGCCAGGCCCAGCCCTAGGTGGGCCCAGCTGCTCCATGCACCTGCCTCTTGAGTCCCCCATTCCCCTTAGCCCCCTAGCCCCCCAGGGCTGGCCCGAGGCACAGGGAAGCCTCAGATGGCAGCTGCCCAGCCGCCCAGGGCTGCTTGAGGCTCAGGTAATCAGGACAGGCTGAGGCTTGCACTGCTGGCAGTGGCAGCAGCAGAGGCATGATGGGGCGTTACCTTCCCCTGGTTGCCGGGCGGCCTCCTGCCCATGAGGGCTCCCAGACTGTGAGAGGGGGCAGGCTGTGCTGATGGATCCTCCCCCCCGCCTCCCCAGTACATGAATTTTCATGCACCAGGCCTCTAGTATTATCATAAGGCTTAAATGATAAATAAAAAATATCATATACCGAAGGTCCTATGATCTTCCTACTGACAAATTAGGCTATGAACCTATCAAAACTGATCTTACAAACTAAACTGTGTTTATAATTATTGTTTGGGCTCTTTCCTTTCCTAATGCACCCTTTTTTTTAACTAATAGAAAAGAGGAACAATGTGGGTTTAAAAAAAAATTTAAGCAAAGTGACAAAAGAGAACATTTTTGACTGAAGATAATTCATGGCCTGTATTTCTGTTGCTTCAGATGGCATTTTTTCAACACTAAATGGAAACTTTGAAGAATAACATCTGTTGATGAAGCCTTTTCTTGGCAGGTGGGTGGAAATCTGTAAGAATAGCGGCTAGGAAATGATAACCATCTAGAGGTGGTTCAAAAACCCATATTTATGACAAAAATTTCTTATTTTTTGATGGTTAAACCTTTAGTGCCTCGTCTGTGTGGCTCAGTGGTTGAGTGTCAATCCAGGAACTGAGAGATTGCGGGTTGAGGCACATTTGGGGTTGCAGGCTCAGTCTCCACAAGGGGCCGTGCAGGAGGCAGCCAATCAATGATGATTCTCTTTCATTGATATTTCTATCTCTGTATCCTGCCCCCTTACTTTCTCTCTAAAAATCAATAAAAACATATTTTTTAAAATTTGTTTTTAAAAAGCCTTTAGTAAAATAGATAAAATGCAGAATTTATTAACTTGGACCTCACTTTTTTTGCTTACATTCTGTTATAAGTATAAATAAATAGTGAAAAAGTTAAATGGAAGGAAGCCAACTTTACTGGGCTCCTAAAATACATGGCAACCTCTTATAAAAGAATCAAAATATAAAAACAATGCAGTTTATGGTAGTAGAGAAAGAGCATATTTTTTGAAATCAGATGATGAGTACAAATTGCCAGTCTGCCACCATTAATTGGGCAAATTGCTTAACACATTTGAATTTGTTTCTTTATCTATAAATCAAGGACTTTTCTATCTTCTACATCAGTGTTTTCCAAACTCCTCTCATGATGAGAATCACCTGGTGGAGTTGTTAAACTACAGATTCCTGAATCCCAACTAAGAAGTGCTAAACATATGTAAAATTGTATACTTAACTTAGTGCTCTGTTTAAGTACACAATTTTACCTATATGTTCCCAAAAAATCTAGTTTAGCACTTCTTAGTTGGGATTCAGGAATCTGTAGTTTAACAACTCCACCAGGTGATTCTCATCATGAGAGGAGTTTGGGAAACACTGTTCTACATAGTTAAAGGTTAAATGAAATAAAGTATGTAAAATACTTAAGATAGTATAGCACATAGTATGTTCTAGATACTTAAGTATTTTTCTTTGTTTCTTTCTGCCTTCTTCAAGGTTCTTTATAATCTTATTTGAGGGAGTGAGGATAATAAAAAGAAAAAGTGAAAAGATAATAAAAATAAACATGATTATTTAAGAAATTAGAAGTTTAAGTGAAATAAATACATGAAGACTTATTTAAGGAACCATAAAGACAACAGGAACTAAGGAGGTTCAGGGAATGACTAATTTCTCTGGGCTGTGGTCAGTCACAGAGAACTTGGTTTCAGAAGGGGAATTTAAACTGAGGTCTAGATGAGGACAGGTTCAGATAGGCAGTCAGAAGGGGGAATGGGCTGGGTTTGAAAAAAGAACACACTCTAAGCAGGTAAAAACGCATAATTAACAGTGTCTGTTTAGGAAACAAAGTGTGTCTTCAGAAAGTACGTCAGATGGGAAAGAGGTGCAGTCAGAGGCTGTATGAGAAGCTTCAGTTAAGAGATATGAGTCGGGACTGCTTAAGCTCAGGCCAGAAGGAAGAAAACTCAGTAGAGAATTTTATGTTGACAGCAATGGGGAATCACAAGCAAGGGAGAAGTAACCTGGCCATATGTGCTTTTAAGATTAATTCATCAGCAGTGAGCAGGAGAATTTAAAGAAGAAATATTTTTAAATTTAGGCTGGAAGTATTAGAGAGAAAATAAAGACTATACAGGAAAAAAAATAAAATTTTTCTATGAAAATAGGATAATTTATCATCATTGTGTACCAAGTAATAGGAGTAAGCAATGAAAACTACTCAAATACAATGAAATCTATTTATTTGCAAAAGTTGAGGGAGCTCCTCTTCTCCTTTTATTGTACCTTGTACAGAACATCAAATCCCTCTCAGATTGGCCTACGAATCACAGAAAAACCATAGTTTCTAATCTAACACACTGGGATCTAACACACTGAGACTCCCCACCTCCCACACGTTAAAAAAAAATAACTGAATAGTTACCACTGTGATTAATGAGTGTGAAACAAGAATATTACACACAGAACATAGTCTTACTAGAACTCCTCCCTTTAGGGATAAGACAATTGAGAACAGGACAGATTAAGTGGCCAATTCTCATGGTTGGATAGGAAGTTAGATGACAGAAGAAGAACTGGAACTTAACTTTTCAAATTTAAGCATCTGCACATCTTACAAACAGCCCTAGCTGCCAAATGTATACATGCAAATGTACACATGCCCTCTTTCCCCATGCCGGGATGCTGTTCCCCCAGATGTAACATTTTATTTGCTTAGTTACATATCTTTCAAGATTCAGTTCAAGTTTTACTTCTCTGAGAAACCTTCCCTAAAGCCTTTCCAGGCTAGATCGGTTCCTCTGTGTCTCTCCTGCATACTGTTAGGAGAAAACTCATAAAATTATTGTAATTAATTATTACTTGTTCATTTTTACAATTAAAATCATTCCCCCACCCTACCTTCTAAACCTAGAAGAGGGCCTGACAAAAAGATGATATTTATCAATAAATGAATGAAAGCAACAGCAGGACTCCTTTACCAACTGTGTAAAACTGACTCATCCAGATTCAAAGCTCATATTAGGATTTTGAGCCATGGACTCTGAGCTGAATCCTTTAAAAATATGAGGTCTTAACATAAAATTTATAGTGCTAAACACTGATAATGTTGCAAAGATTACTCATAAAATAGACTCTGTGCATAAGAATCGCACACAGGTATCACCATTAAAAAGAGAGAAGTTGGGAGAGCCAGTTTTGAGATGAAGAGGTATTCTATTGTAAACGTTGAATTTGCTGATACTGGGATGTATACATGGAAATGTCCATCAACAAGTCATACAAATGGTACTGGAATTAAGGAGATTTGGGCTGGATGTGCATGTTTGGGAGTTTTGGCATAAAGGACAGTGCTGAAATCTTACAGACTCAGGATCAAAGAAAAGTAGTATATAACATGAGGACTGACTATCAGGTACCAATATTTAGGAGACGAGAGAAAAACAGGAGCTAGTCAGATTAATACAAAAGGAAGATTATTATACAGAGCTTTTTGAATAGTAGTGAAGGAATAGTCAGTTAAGAAAAATATGGGCTGAAACCGGTTTGGCTCAATGGATAGAGCGTCGGCCTGCAGACTGAAAGGTCCCGGGTTCGATTCCAGTCAAGGGCATACACCTTGGCTGCAGGCACATCCCCAGTGGGGGGAGGGGGGGTGTAGGAGGCAGCTAGTGGGTGTTTCTCTCTCATCGATGTTTCTAACTCTCTATCCCTCTCCCTTCCTCTCTGTGTAAAATCAATAAAATATATTTAAAAAAAAGAAAAGAAAAGAAAAAGAAAAATATGGTCAAGAGAAGGGGGAAAGAGAAAGAAAGAAAAGATCTTTGGATAAAATAATAGATGGTTTCTGGTATCCTTCAAGGCAGCAGGATCAATGTATTTCAAATCACAGAGAAAAGGTAGGGAGCACCTGGCACCGGCATTCAGAGCCCATGTATTTGAGAAGTTTGTGAAATGAAGGGTTGTAATGCAATGAAGCAGGCCCACGTCCAGACCTTATGAAACAATTAAGAGAAAGCACTGCTAGTAAGATCCAAATGTTATATGGTAAGTTAGAGCATATTCAAGAGTTGTTTGCACTAGCCATTAGTGTATCAAGTCTAAGATAGGAATAATAAATACTTATCAGGAACCTACCTACTTTATGCCAGACTTCAAATGAGACCTAACTGTCTGTCTTTTTTCTTTTCATTATAAAACTAGTGATAAAAAGGAAACATTCTGAAATGGATCCCAAATACTTCATCTTAATTTTGTTTTGTGGATACCTGAGCAATGCATTTTCCTCAGAGACAAATGCAAATGCAACAGAGTCGCAACCACAGCCTACTTTATTTAGATCATCGATGCCACATGTCTTGGCTAATTCTCAAAACACAACAGAGAACCCTTTGGGTCAATCAACACAACGCAAAGACATTTCTTCTGGACAATCAACTGCCGAGGTTGCTGCTGGACAACCAGCAGCACATACTTCTGCTGGACAACCACTTACCTATAACATCACCAGACAACCAACACCAACGGCCAACACCACCTCCCAACAAACAGCACAACCTGTGTTCACCCCCGGCAGACAGCTAGCAACACCCGCCCATACTTCTATCAGGCAACCGCCACCATTGGTCTATGGATCCACTCAACGACCAACGTCTGTTCACACCTCTGCTAGAAAACCAGTACCACCGACTATTCAAAATGTATCCATACAACCAACACCAGCTGCCGAAACTTCACCTAGGATTACACCAGGATTCATCCCAGAAGATACTGGTGCCACACAAATACCACATAAAAGCAATTCTAATTCAATAGCTGCCATAATAGTTGGTGTAATTCTGATTTCAATGTTGGTAGCTATTATCATGATTGTACTATGCAAATGCTTGAGAAAACCAGTTTTAAATGACCAAAACTGGGCAGGCAGATCTCCATTTGCTGATGGTGAAACCCCTGATATATGTTTGGATAATATCAGAGAAAATGAAGTATCCACAAAACGTACATCAATTATTTCACTTATGGCCTGGAAGCCAGGCAAAAGCACACCTGTAACAGATGACTTAGAAATTAAGTTGTTTGAATCAAGTGAAAACATTGATGATTCCAACACCCTCAAAACAGAGAAAATAAAAGATCAAGGAAATGGTACATCTGAGGAAAGTGCTGGTGGATCAACAATTGGCACTGCCGTTTCTTCTTCAGATGATGCAGATCTGCCGCCTCCTCCTCCCCTTCTTGATTTGGAAGGACAGGAGAGTAACACATCTGACAAACCCACAGTGACAACTGCATCTCCTCTTCCAAATGACTCCACCAATCTCCCACCACCTCTGGACTGTCTCAGTCAAGTCTGTGAAGATCATAATTCTGAGTACCAACAGTCACTTCCGCCTCCCCTTGACTCACCTAACTTGCCCCTGCCACCAGATTTGATGAAAACTCTGGAAGATTCCAACAATGAGATTCAGTGTCAGGAGCTATCTATTCTTCCTAACTCTGAGCAAGATCTCAATGAATCCCTGCCACCCCCACCTGCAGAACTGTTATAAATATCACAGCCTATTAGCTAATTTTTCATCCTTTTCAAAGGACTCTCTCTTTTGTTTTTCTTCATGTGACGAAAGATATTAAACGGCAACTGATAGCCAATTTTGATTTTTATTCAGTAACTAGTACTTGAAATATGCTCAAAGCCCATGTGCATAGGTAAAACTTACTATATATGTATAAACAGTGATCTATTGACTGGCTATAGCCTCTAACTTTAATGTATACTTTACATATGTGGATGGGATATGTGTCAATAACTTAACCCTACGTATACTTGTTATCACCTAATAGTCCCCCCCCCCCCCCCCACCCCGTGAAAAGCTGTGTATCAAGTTACCTTGAATAAATAAAATTTTATTTTTCCATTTCAAAGTTTGAGGTGGAGGAAAGGAAAAATTAAATACATACTCCAAGTTTTAAACAAAATACCAAATTTTAAATTAATACCTCTAGTATTAAAATAAATATTCTAAGTTCATGGGCAAGAGTGATTAAAATGTATGTTTAAAAATGGAGAAATTTTCTTTCTCTACTTCTCATTGAAAATAGTAAAGCAAACACACTAAAACATCAAAATTGGGGGTTGGGGACATTTACTCTGGAAAAAAAATGGGCATGCACCATAAAATGTAGACATTTTCTTGTCTTATTGGGGGAGCACAAATTTTGAAACCAGCCTCTTTATATGCCTGAAGAACTCAAACAAAATGAAATCTTACAAAGAAGACAAAAACACTTCTATGGCTTCATTTCAAATTTAGATGATTTTCCCAAGAAAAACAGATTGTACTGATATACAGATGATTCTCAACTTCCAGTAAATTCATACTTGACATTTAAGCACCATACATTTAAACTCTTTAACCACCTTTCTTGTGCAGAATTTCTTCTCTTATCCATTACCAGATGAGTAATAAATCTGAGTTATCAGAGTAGGAATGAACTCCATCTTTGTCAAAGGTCGAGTGTGTTCATCTATGCATATGCAGATGTCAGCCAGGGCCCGCAATAGAGCTCCGTTGCCCAACAAGCATATATTCACTCTCTTTACCTCCCTAACTCCTGGGGGAAACAGTCACTTAGAATGAAGTGTGGTGACCTTTTTGGTAGCTTAATGTTGGAACCTCTCATAGTTCTAGGATTTTTCTGAACAAAAACCAGTATTTATTGTAGCATGGTGTTCAAGAAACTAAGTTCCATATTTAATAAAAATTAGCAGCTTTTGGACAATGACATTTTACATAAAAAGTTTCTCTTTAAATCTTTTAAGCCATTCCTTACTGATCATTAAAACCTTTTTTCTGCAGAAACACTTCCTTGAGCTGCTTATTTTTCCTGAATGAGTATGATGTTTACTGTCATACTACTTTGGTTCTCTCTGTCTTCTACATTAAAAAGTTTCTTTCATTGTATTTTTCAAACTTTGAACTTTTAAGGTTAATTTTCCTAGCAGTAATCAGGAGTTTAATAATTTCCTATTATTCTTTTGAGTTTTAAGTATTCTAGTTATGGTAAATAAGACATGTTTTTATACCAGTTAAGACTTTAACTTGCCTTAAAATTATCATAATCTTTCTAATTTTACATATAAGATTGTTACTTAATGGGGTCTTTCCACACTTTTGCTCTTCTTTTTCATCACCTTCTTTCCTGACCTCTTGAAGATCAGTATTGAGAAATCTAAGAAAATATCAACTCTCACAAATAAATTAAAAACTGATGATCTGGTCATAGTCTTGTCTGATTTCTTCAAATACAATAGGCAAATTTTCTCCTTTTGTTCTTTATATAATAAAACAGACTATTGCTAGCAGGTGGTTTTGTTGTTTGTTTTGTGTTTTAAGAAATTCTCTGTGAGGGGGGGAAAATAATTCCTATTTACTGCATGCAATTTCCCCCTACTGAGGTCAGTGGAAGCTGAGCAGCCAAACTGGCAATTCTTGCTTAATCAACAGAAAGAAATGCAAAAGAAATAAAGGAGAGAAGAAAATGTTGGATCAAAGAAAAAACTTACTGAAAAGATTAAAGAACTAGGATCCAGAAGAAGAAGTTTGTTTCATGAATATGGCAAAACAGCAAGGCACAGGGTAATTAAAAGCAGACTGAACTACATACCGCACACCAATAATGCTCTTACCAGATCAGCATCAACTAGATTCAGAAACAACCCTGATGACCATCTAGTTCAACCCCTTTTATTTGTTAAGTGCTGAGAAAACACACACAGAGAGTGTAAGTGACTTGTTTAGAAGTGGTATTAAAAGCTAAGTTTGTTCAACACCCTTTTCGCTAATATAAGACCAAAGAGTACCTACTCCATGCACTGCAACAAATGTTTATTAAATATGTATACATGTTTAATATACAACAAAGAAGTTAAAAAAAATAAAACAAAATAAAATTAATACGTGTATTGCATTTAGTGTTGGTAGTGGGGATACAATGAATTAGATGAAGAGTGACCTGCAATTGTTATTACCTAATTCTGATTTAAAAAAAAGTAAAGTAGCAAAATATTTGGACACCTAGCATTAAAACACTGTGATGCTGGCACATAATTAGACACAGATCAATGGAACAGACGGAAAGTTTAAAAATAGATTCCAATCTCAAATTAGTGAGGAAAAATATTGGAACAGTTAGATATATATTTGGAAAAAAAATAAAATTGTATCTATAGGTCACAGTACATTGGAATCAGCACCAAACAGACCAGAGATCTAAATATAAAAAAAATGAAATTATACAATAAGTGAAAATATCAGTACATTCTTTTATAATTTGGAAATAAGAAAAACCTTCCTAGCTGATACTCAAAATCAAGAAGCAATAAAAAGAAAAGAAAAATCCAGTTACTGAAAACTTTTAAATGGCAAGAACCAACATATAAAGTCACCATAATAGTCAAAAGACAAATGGCAAACTGAGAAAACCCCCAAAAACAAACAATCTAAATTAAGTAAAGGGCTACTATCTCTAAAATTTAAAACATACACAAAACTCCCAAATACAGACCCACAACACAACAACAACAAAATACGCAAAACATATAAAAGACAATCAGAGATGCAAAATTTTAAGTAGTCCATAATAATAGCGATACATTTAAAATTATACTATGTACTATTACCTTCATCCATATAAATCCCAAGTTCAGCAACAAAGTCTATGGTGAGGCTGTACAGAACTAGACACCCTGACACATTGCTGGTGAGACTGCAAAATGGTATAATCTAAAGAGAGGAATTTGGTAATAACCAGAAAAATTCCAAATGCATTTACCCTTTTACACAGCAATCCCACTTCTAGAAATCTTTTGCAAAGATTTACTGGGAAAAATATAAACATACTCAGATGCAAGGGTATTCACTGTGGCATTACTTGAACTAGCAAAACCCATATGCCCATCAATAGGGGCTTGGTTGAATAAACCATGGTTTACTCCCAAAGGCAGTATATGCATGATAAAATAAATGAGAAATATTCCTATCTATTGATACGGAGTGATCTTCCAGATATATTATTTAAAAAACAACAATAAGATGTGTAACAATATATTTAGTATGCAACCTTTTACATAAGGGATAAGAACATATAATACATACATATTTTTGTATGTTTGCAAAAAGAAATACTGATAAGAAACAATCAAAAATAGTCACCAACAGGAGGAGGAAGAAAATGGGTGGATGGGAAACAGAAGCAAGATTTCTCTGAATATACCCTGTTGTATAGTTTTGACTCAAGCTATCCCTAAAAATTGATAGCTAATGGAAACAAATGAACCTAACTATGTAACGTTTATATAAAAATATAGAGAAAACAATTATTTCATGTTGCATTAAAATACAGAATTGACTGTACATCCCTGGTGAAATATGTACTAAGAACAAATAGAGCTGCAAAGAAATCTTAAACTTTATTCAGTGGTTTGTAATCTAATTGTCTGCAGTAATGCTGGTATTGTTTTGAAACTATTATAGGATGATACAAATAAGTAATTATGTTAATGCTGTTAGGAACCATTTATAGAAAATATTGGGGGATAGAGAAACAAATTAGATCTTCACAAGGAAGCAAACAGATCAATCCAGATGAGGGACTTTCTAGAAAACTAATCACTGAGTTTGGGCAACATGGAGAGAAAAGGGGTGAGGAGGTGGGAGAAGGACTGATCCATTTGGATTTTGACCTGATAATTTCTACCTTGTCAGTTCTCCCATGCCTTTAAAATACTTTATTCAGTACTCTTAACTGTTTTTAGTGGGAAATTCAGTCTGAAGAACCAACCATATTACCCTAAGTGGAGAATATAATATTTTTAGTTTCAAATAAGCACAAATGTTATCAAGAAATAAAGATAAAATGATTGGCTTTCCAAACTGTTGATTAACATAGTTGTTCTCTGGCAGGTAATTTGTTATGCCTTTCACAATGTTGGCGTAATTTATTTTAGGACAGTGTTTCATAAAAGAATATGTAAATGAATTTACTACTTAGTCTAGAATACAACAGTTGCCTAAATAGTTGCCTAAATAACTGTAATTCTAGACTTCACAGACTTATGTAAAATGTAATGTGCCTGAATATCTAAAATAAGTTGTAAAAAACTCTTAAGCCAGTAAAAATTATTTTTGGAGTAACAGTAATATACTATTATTTTATTTCATGAGAATTTCTAAATTCATAAGACAAGGAGAGTTTGGTACAATTTAAATACATTAAAATGTACCCCATTTTTCTCTTTGAGAATTTCGTAATAATTTTTGAATAAGAAGAAACAACTTGGTATGCCCCCAAACTTAGAAATAAGAAACACTGCCATTATTATTGGAATTTTTTTTATTATATGTAGCAGAATCTAATCTTGATACAGCCTAAGTCCAAATTCATTTGAATGCATTAGCTAATGAAATAATATGCTCTTTCTTTCAAACGGAAGTATTGGTAAGTATAATGGAACTGGGTAACTCTACTTCAACATAAGACTTCCTAAAATAAAAAAAAGAGGTGTAAGTGTTTGGTAAGTTGACCCTCAGCCACATCCCTTGAAGTGTAACAGAGTATGAACTGAAACAGAAGAAACCTAAATGTCAAAACATTCCCTATCTCCACAACAATATTGCTGAATGGAGTATTTTTTAAACACTTTTAAGCTCTAAGATTAATGACTGGTTTCTGAAATTCATAGAAAAAAAATCTTATTAAGAGTCCAAGACTGAACCCTCAGAGTGAAGTGGAAATAAAGTACCTAATCAATACTACACTCTGACACTGCCGACTTTTAAAATGTAGATACTTTTCGAGGAACATTAACTTTATGCAAAAGGTGACTCCTAGATTATAGTTAGCTTCCTAAGAAAATAAATTTCAAATTT